CATGTCACTATCTTATGTATTCCCACAATAATCAGAGAGCTTGGTGATGGAGCAACCCTGTATGGTGCAGAACCTTTACATGGATCAAAGTAGAGTTGGAGGGTGAGCTATAGACGAGAGGAGGAATCAGGAAATGAAGTGTGAATCAAGAACAGAATGAGATGAAACAACAAACCAGAGCAGTGAGAAGGAAATCGGAGACTCAGTTAATATGAAATACAACTGGGGTGGATACAGAGACACCTGTAAGACCAGCTGCCATTCAGAGTGCTGCTGAAAGTATAGATGAGTCTAAACCAAGGGGCTTTGCCTGGTGAACCAGCGTGAAAGGACCTTGCATTTGTCAGCACAAGTAGTAGATCCCAGAGTAACTTAAACTGGAGCCAGAATAGAAAATAGGCCCAAACTGAAAGCTCTGACATGGCAGAGCTGAAGAAATATCCAGGAAAATGTGTCCTAAACCATTTAAGGGATATCATGAGATTCCTCCCCCTCTGAGAAGGTCATGCCTTGTACTCTAAACAGTTGGCTAAATGTGATGTGGCTGGTGCCTAGGAACTAAGGGAAGGGATGAGGCAAATATAAGAGCAGCAAGGTTCTACCTGCTTCTGGCCCTGGACTCCAGCGTGGATCTCCCTCTGAGCTCTTACATGGCAGCAACAGAAGTGACCATTGGTCAGCAAATGCAGAGGCACCTGGAGATGTCTCATGTGTTGACCCAGACTGTTCAGGTGGAAGGAAATTAAAGAACCTGTATTATTGGATTATTGCTTCAATTCACGTTTTTTTTGGTTTTTTGGTTTTTTGAGGCGGAGCCTCGCCCTATTGCCAGGCTGGAGTACAGTGGCATGATCTTGGCTCACTGCAATCTCCACCTCCCAGGTTCAAGCAATTCTCCTGCCTCAACCTCCCAAGTAGCTGGGACTACAGGCATGCACTACCATGCCCAGCTAATTTTTGTATATTTAGTAGAGACAGAGTTTCACCATGTTAGCCAGGATAGTCTCAATCTCTTGACCTCGTGATCCACCCGCCTCAGCCTCCCAAAGTGTTGGGATTACAGGCATGAACCACTGTGCCTGGCCTCAATTCACCCCTTTGTTTTACTAATGCAGATGTGAAAATTAGAACCAGAGGAAAAGGGTCTACAACAATGTAAGACAAATTTTATAGGGAATATAGAAAAATTGCATAAAATATATAAATAAATACCTAGTATACTCCAGCCCATTAATTAATATTACATATTCAAAATTTTCATCAGTCTTTCTTTTGTAGATTTTTTAAATTTTAAAAACATTGAGTAGATACAAAAGAATATTTATAAAATATATATAAGGTGTAAAGGATTACAATACAAAAAATACATATACATCCATCCCTCAGGTTAAGAAATATGTAACAATATTTTTTTACTATAAAAAGCAGGCCAGGAGTGGTGGCTCACACCTATAATCCCAGCACTGTGGAAGGCTGAGACAGGTGGATCACTTGAGGTCAGGAGTTCATGACCATCCTGGCCAACATGGTGAAACCCTGTCTCTACTAAAAATACAAAAATTAGCCAAGCGTGGTGGCATGCACCTGTCGTCCCAGCCACTCAGGAGGCTGAGGCAGGAGAATTGCTTGAACCCGGGAGGCAGAGGTTGCAGTGAGCTGAGATTGCGCCACTGCACTCCAGCCTGGGTGACAAAGTGAGACTCCATCTCAAAAAAAAAAAAAAAAAAAGCAGCTATACCCAACAATTCCATTCCTAGGTATGTTTCCAAAAGAAATGAAAACGTATGTTCACCCAAAATCTTGTACACAATATTCATTGCAGCATTATTCATAATAGCCAATAGGTGGGAACAATCCAAATGTTCATCAGCTGATGAATGACTAAATAAAATATGGTATATCTACACAATGGAATATTATTTGGCCATGAAAAAAAAATGGAGTATTGATACTTCATTCTTTTATTCAGGCAGCAGCATGGATGAACCCGAAAATATTGTGCTAAGTGAAAGTAGGACTGGGGAAATTTAGGGAAAACTTAAACTTTTAAAAGTTTAAGATTTTTTTTTTAAGTTTCAAGTAATTACTCCCTTTTGGGGAATAATTGCTAATGGGTATAGGGTTTCTTTTGGGGGCGACAAATATGTTCTAAAGTTGATGGTGGTGGTGATGGCTCAACTCTGCTGAGCTAAACTATGGAATTGCACACTGGAAATGGCTAAAGTATATGGGATGTGAATTATATTTCAATAAAGCTATTATATTTTAAAAGACAAAAAGAAAAACAACCATCACATTCCCCTCACATAATTTAATTGTTCCATGTTGCTTTTAGGAAGAGGAGCTTTAGCAGACAGAACTCCTAATTCCAGGGTCTTCAGTGCACCTCTTTTCCTCTTAGGGGCTCTGCCCACCCCGAGAAAACTTTGGTTAAAACAATTGTGCTCAGTGACAGACTTTTTGCATCAAGGCAATTGTGCCCAATGATACACCTCCAAATGTTGCCGTTAGACTTTAGGAGTGCGCGGCACGCATGAGAAAGGCATCAGAAATGCAAGATGGCCTGTTCTTCTGACATAAAAATAACATTTCAGAAAAGAGCAAGTTTCAGTTGCCAAACCTGGGTATCATATGACAGCATGAACATACACCCATAGTGACTTCTTTTGTTCCAGATACACAGGCACACACCTACACATGCCAGTTCAGGACAGCTCAAGCACTACCTAAGTTTCTGCCTTTTTACATTCCACCCTTGGAGACTATTTTAATTGGTATCTCAGTTCATCAGCTCCTGTCCTTCTCCCAGTCCCTCCCTGAGTATATGTTGGGGCTGTGGGTGTGAGGGGTTCTCCCCAGGTAGCAGCATAGTCAAATGGGTTGGGCTTTTCTATATACTTTTGTTCACAAAGAGGGTTCAGTATTTGCCCCTCAGTGTTAACTCTAGCAATTAAGTAGAAAATGTACTTCCAGTAGTACCAAAGACGACTCAGTTCAGCTCAGTGGACCACCTCAAGACTGTACAAGAAGCCGAAGAAACGCAGCTGGAGGTGCAAATGCATTCGTTTTACCGCTAGGAGTAGTCAAAGCACTCCCAGGTCACCCTTGAGCTTCTGAAAGTGGACTAAGCAGCATACTCCACACCACACAACACCCATTTACTGGTGGACTCAAGCCCGCCGTGCCGTCTCTGTGTCGTAGTTATTTGTGAGTCACTGCTGCCCACTGGGCAGATAGGACCGAAGGTAGAGGAATAAAAAGGCAGACTTCCTCGAGGTTTAAACAGGACTGTGAGCCATGGAGTCTGTATCTGTGCAACACTTACCACCAGCTTGACTGCTCATTGGCTGTTTTTCTCTTTTTTTGTTTTTTTGTTTTTTTTGAGATGGAGTCTCACTCTGTCACCTAGGCTGGAGTGCAGTGGCGTGATCTCGGCCCACTGCAATCTCCGCCTCCCGGGTTCAAGCAGTTCTCCTGCCTCAGCCTCCTGAGTAGCTGGGACTACAGGCAAGCACCACCATGCCCAGCTAATTTTTTTTGCATTTTCAGTGGAGACGGAGTTTCGCCATGTTGGTCAGGCTGGTCTCAAACTCCTAACCGCAAATGATCTACTCGCTTCAGCCTCCCAAAGTACTGGGATTATAGGCGTGAGCCACCCCGCCCGGCCTGGCTCTTTCAATATATGAATAGAGCGAGTCATTTATTTTAGCTTTATAGAGGTGTGGCCTCTTTGAGTCATAATCATTAAAATTCACATTCCCCTACCATAGCTTCTTTCAGAGTATATGAAAACTGAAGATAGTTTTGCAGCTCCCAATGTGTATTTGGGTCCTGCTCAATTTGTTACCTCTTAAAGACTGACTTCAGGTAAAAGAGCACCATACTCTTAGTCCTTATCACAAGTTTTGCTAGAACGTTGTTCAAGTCAAAATAATACTGCATTGGTTAAAAAAAAAAAAAAAAAAAAAAA